TAATTGATAAGAGCCTTTCCGGGAAAAGAAACCGCAGAAAACTTTGCTTCCCTCCAACACGCTCCTTTTGGTATCGGAATTAACGCTTTTTAAGTTCTATTTCTTCTCACTATCCATCTAAAAAACCCAGCCCTTTAAAAGTGGGAGGATCCGAAGAATGAGAGAAATTTTCAGTGTTACATTGTATTTTATGTAAATAGTAGTGACAAATACGAGATTCGAATTCAAAGCCTTCACCCTCCTTCTGTTTGCAGAAGGTTTTTTTTGTAATTGTATGCACAGTGATGGCATTTTTTCCTATAATTCCCTTCAAATCGCCTTTATCATTGTGACGGTTCTACCCATCTCTATCGATCGAAAGCATTGCTAAAATTGGAATTTCAACTAATTCCGGGGAAAAACTTGCACATTTCCGTTATGCCTACCATACTCGAAAAAATAATGGAACCGTCAATTATTTTAATTTAATTAGTCTGTCACATTCTTCCTTAAAACTTTCCACATAAATTGGATTCGCTTCTCATCTTTTATGATTAATGCGCCATTTGTCATTTGCCTCGCACCACTTTTTCCCCATCAGTGATTAGCGAGTTTTTTTTTCTTCTGTCGGGAAAAGTTAATACAGGTTTCCAGAATCAGAGCTGGAACCTATAGAATCACATTGAATAACCGCCCTTTTCCGAAATGATGTATAGGCAGACGGGAATTGTGTTCATTTGTGTGTGCAGTTCGGGACTGTTGCATAGTTCTGAAAAACTTCCTTTTACGGAAGGATTCACTGCTGTTGTCTAGTTTTGCTGTTGGGTATTGTCGAAACAAACGCCTAAAATGCTCGACTATCAGGTCAGCTTTGATTTTTAGTAGAATATGAAAAATAAAGAAGAACACATTTCCTTACACAATGATCTTTTGCGTCTCTTGGTCCTAAAAACCTTCTTTTTTCTTTGTTGTTCATATCTCAGATATAATGACATTTGACACTTTCTGTAAGAGAGAAAACATAGAAAAGGAAATTTTTAAAAATTCCTTTTTTCCAAACCACTTTTTGCTCTGCAACAACTTGATGCCAATAAAGTTGGTAATAAGTATCCCAGAGTGACCTCATATCTCAAATTTGTTGGCATAAGCTTTTCGCTTATTCAGGTAAATAATTTTAAAAATAGTTTTGATGTAATAAGCTAATAACATGGGTAACGAATTGGGAAACTGCAAATAGTGTAGATCTATCGTGTACCTGATTCGAGTGCAGAAAAATACATGGCTAAGTCTGCTAAATGCCTGTAAGTCTGTTTGTCGCCTAACTTCCACAAGGCTCATAGTCCGCAACGCGGTTCGCAGCACATTACGTGCGTACTTACTGCCTTTGGTTCTCTCAGATTTTCCCAAACTTAGCCAATGGGCAGCGACTTTTGGTGCGCCGCGTGTCTAAACTCGGCAAAGTGCGCCTTAGTGGAAATTCAACTGAAAAAGAGACGGCAATTCATTAGATGGAAGAAATGCAGATCAACATCCACTTGTGATCAATCAGATTTCTGCTTAGATCTTGTTGCAGGTGCGCTTCATCTGTCGCATGACCAGCTACTTCTCTTATTTGATTTTAAATCGAAACGCTCCTTACCTGTGCTACTAATTTTTAAGAAGCTGCTAAGCTTTCCTATTAAGAATTACTTTATATTAGAAGAAACTTTTAGAAATAAAAGAGTAATATTACTTACACAAATTATGCTTATTTGAAACCAAAATCACCGTGACTCGTTTATTTTTAAAAAATTCTTGTAACAGATGTATTCACTTAATCGCAAGTTATTGAAGAAATAATTTTGTTACCTAAAATGGCAATGATGAAGTGCATAGGGTCATCACAGTATGGATTCTCTGAGTCACTATCTAAGTGATTGAGTGGTTGACTTCTTGGCACTCGCGCGCTACTTTCTTGTTGAATGAAATGTCCATTCCATATTGTTTCCCGGGTTCTGTGTGGTCCTATGCTATATTTTTCTATTTCTCTGCTTATGTTGCGATCATTAAACTTTTAAAATCATTTTCATTCAGCGTTTCTGAATAATTTATACGCATTGCACTCACAATCAGACGCATGGTGATTTTAGAAGAATTTTGGGTAGGGAACAAGTATATGGACACAAATAAAACTTTTGCAATTTTAAAAAAATTTTCTGATCTGCGCTTTTTTTAATTGATTATACTATATTTAATCTGCGCTTCAAAATTTTTACCAGTAAACCTTTAAAAATTTTGTTACTATGTAGGTCTATTTGCATCACTTCTTGCTCAAGAACAGACTTTAAGTTGTTGAAAATCTTCCACTTGACGAAAACAACACATGAGAAATCTTGCATTTTCCGTTTCCTCGTACCTTTAAGAAGAGGTATTCATTCCGATACATTCATGGAAGAAGAATTCGTGTTGCATTGATTGATGACTTATAGGCATTGGCCTGCTCCTTTTCTTTTGCCATGGGATCATGTAGGCATATTCAGATGCAAGCGACGATCCATCCGTCGGCATCGTTCGATGAGGAACGAGCCGCAGAATCACTCGAGCGAGCGATGAGAGGATATGGAACGGATAAACAGCGTGTAATCGATATTCTTGTCAAATGCAACAATGCTCAACGTCAGATGGTACGAGTTTTGTTTTTCTTAATAGGGGGGGAGGGGGGGAATTCTAGAAGTCAGCGAATTTGTAGCACTTCAAAACTGATGACAACAATGTCATCGATATTGTGGCAGTCATAAAAGAGTAAAGAGTGGGTCTTAAATCGATCAAAAAAGCCGTTATGGTTGATTTTTCACCTCATTTTCTTTTTTCCCGCAGTGCAAATCGTAATTTTACAACATATCAACAAAACAATGCCATGATTCATCGACAGCCAAACTTGGAATCTGTATTTTCACAGTTTTCCTATGATTATCCCATTCATGACCGCGTGACACACGGGTTGTTCACGCATTTTTAGTTGAGTAAACCGTGTAGCCCATCGGTGGGCCACATTTTTCTTCGCCTGTTTCGCCTGTTTGAGAGGAAGGTGAGGTGAGGGGGAGGCGAGGTGAAGGGAGAGAAGAGGAGGGAAAAAAATCGCAAAAATTCTGATATATGAAAATATCTGACTAGGCTATAATATCACCTTTTTATTATTACAGATACGCACCCCGTACAAAGTTCGCTATGGCAAAGATCTCGAAACGGAACTGAAGAGGGAGCTTTCCGGAGATCTTGAGGACGTTATTAGTAAGTTTTTTTTGAACTCTCAAATAAGGGTTTACGTGACACGTGATACACCGTTTCACGTCTTTCTGGATTTTCTTGAAAACAACTGAAGTAACCAATATGACTAATGTCAAAAAACATTTTTCCCGGTCATAAGTATATATCAATACT